TGACACGTGGCAGTCGTAGAGACGTTACATTTGTCGATGGTATGGGTAGGGTTGCCACACCGGATACATCTCTCGTCCTTCTTACCGATATCATTAGTACAATTCCTAGCAGGATGACCATCCTGTAGGCACCTATAACATGTGATGGATTGTTGATCACGAACCACCGCATAGACATAGTAGACATCGTCATCAGTTGATGATCCGGAAGGAATAGGGGATCCATCATGATAGTCATCAGAGTGGTCGTTGTTGATGATGTTGCTCACCGTAGCTTGACGTCGTTGATCAGGATGTCGTCCACCATACAACCGGAGAGTAGCGGGATCGGCTTCCTTCTTAGATAACCGTCCTTGCCTTCTTATATCATACTTGATCAGTTGTCGTTTGAAGCGGGGATAGTCTATACGGTGATCGTCAACATCACGATCCATCTTATCTCTAAGACGATCGTTTAATAGTCCATCATACAATCGTCGCTTGATGATGTCATCCAAGATACTGACGCCTAGTAGACATAGCTGATTAGCATAACCATCCAATCTTGAGATAAACTGATTGACCGTCTCCTTAGGTTCTTGTTGTAGATGATTGAAGTCGTTCTGGAGTTTCAATAGAACTTCTTGGTCGCTGTAGAACTCATTGATCTTGTTGATCAGCAGATCCCAGTGACGATCATAGTCTTTGTGGCATAATGCAGGATCAGTTTCGTCACGTACAAGATCGTCCCAGACGGTATTGATAGTATTGAGACGGGCAAAGGTGTAACGAACAAGATTCCTTTGGCCAACCGTCCGTTTGAAGATCTCTTGGATCCAAGCTGCACCAGAGCGTCGATCATCAGCACCTTGATAGTGGTTCTTGATAGCTAGACCTTTTGCCGTATTGGTAGCAATTTGGAGATCCTTGTCAGAGATCTTGTGTCGGCATTTGGTATGTCTACAACCCGGACAGCGGTCATAGGTCTTGTTGCCGAACAGATTAGGGGGTCGATACATTCTGCCAGAAGTGATTCCAGGCAGATGTTTCAACGTAGGGTAGGGTCTTGATAGAGCACGACCCGAAGCAGAAGAAGGGCTAGAAGAAGATGAACTCGATGATAGGCTTCTCCGACGGCGTTGATGGGAACGTCGAGAACGACGAGAATCATGATCGTCACCAGAAGAATCCGATGAACCAGAAGGAGAGCCAGATGGATCACGTCTTCTTGTAGACCTCATAGCAGCTCTACGAGATGGTTGTTGATGATGTTCACGATAATTCTCGTGATGACTTCTCGAACCATTTTTAGCAGCAGATGAAATAGAAATAACTTCAACAGGTTTAGTAGAATCTACTTGTTCTAGAGGGACTCGATCATCAGCAGTAGTGATATCCTTGACAGTGGTGTCGTAGATAGGAACCGATTGCTGAGGTCGTGAACCATCAACTGTTAGAGTAGAGCTAGCAGCAGCTGACGAGTAGTCTTTGATAACCGTACCACAAGACTGATGCTGTTCACTATGTTGGGAATCTTTGATAGGGTTGGGGTAGTGCTCGATGTTCAGGAAGTTGGGATCACTCATTGACTTCTCGATGATAATGGGGTGGCTTAGGAAGATTGGTCGTAGATAGTCGTCTTGAATGATATTATAGAGTAGCTCTCTATCCTTTGTGATCATGTCCAGATAGAACTCGTTATACAGGATCTTGTCACTAACTCGCAAGTTTGATAGGATGCTCTCTCGTAGACGATGTTGACCATTTAATGATACCACGTTAGCTTGTAGTGGATGTTCTTGAGCTCTTTCATATCCGACCTGTCTCTTGATAAGGTTTTCTTGACGAACATAGGAACCTTTGATAGTCGTACGATCATCTGTTACTGGAGGCTTAGAGACTCTTCCATGATCTAATTGATGACCTTGTTGCTCATATGGTCTATCATGGATAGGTCTGTCGTTACTCGACATTACCACTTCTTGATGACGATGTAGTCGATCAGTACTCGGCACAATCACTTCACGATGATCTCCAATAGGCTTGACGTTACTCGACTTTACCACTTCTTGATGATGATGTAGACGATCAATACTCGGTAGAGACACTTCACGATAGCCTTCGGTAGATTTAACGTTACTCGATGTTACCACTTCTTGATGACGATGTAGTCGATCATTACTCGGTAGAGTCACTTCACGACGACCTTGCCTCGCCCCAGTGTTAGGATGTACTGGACGAATATGTTCTCTTGTTGTCGGGAACCTTCTTATAGACACCGGTCTGGATAGATGCACATTATCCGGATAGTGCATTGATTGGAGCTGATAACCACTTGACAAAGATGTATCATACGGATAGTTTCCAGTGCCGAACTCCTGATCGGGCTGATGAATGGCGACCCCGGGGTTGTTAGTGTCGTTGTCGTTCATGTAGGGTATGTTCCTTTGTTGGCGTTGATCATGATGTAGATGAACTTGTCTTATACTCTCGATATCTGGTTGGAGGAGATGTTCTGGTACCAATTGATGACATTCTTCGTCTCTAGAACCATTGGAACCTTCGGCTCGTTGATGATGTATCGGCAAGGATAGACGATTCTTCCATAGAATATCGAGTTCAGCCTGGGATGTTGGGCAAGATACTGGAGACCGAGGATCCTTTCGCAAAGGATGTTGATCTTCTTGTTGGGGAGTTTGGTCCGATAGAGCTGACCCTTGATCCTTTCGTAAGGAGTTCAATCTCGTTAGGACAGCCCGGTTTGTAAGAGGGACCGGATAGCAGTTCCCACATGAGGAGATTGGTCATAATACGGAACCTGATCCC